ACTTACAGTTCAAGAAGGATAAGGGTTCATCTTGGCTGGAGATGGGGCTGCATGGGGCAGCAGGTAGGCATGAGAGCTGGAGCAGCAAGCGGAGAGCCCACAATGCATGAGATTGGAAACTTCAGATTACTTCCTGCAACACTGCCATTATCTCCTAGGCCTACCAAAACAGCATGACCAACTGAGAACCAGTTGTTCAAACATCTGAGCCTATGGGGGAACATTCTCATTTAAACCACCATAGTGCCTGTGACACCAAAGCCACAGTCAGTTGAGACAGGGAACTTATTCATCACCCCAAATGTTTCCTTCCACAACCCCCTTTTTGGTGGGTGGATAGAGTCTCACACTATAGCCCAGTCAGGCCTTCAACTTCTGGCAAACCTATCTCAGGTTCAGTTTCCAGAGTGGTGGGATCATGGGTGTGAACATCTAGTGTTTTGTTTTGATGATTTAAACATCTTGTTATGTAGCTCAGACTGGCCTAGAGATCATTATCTTCCTGCCTTAGGTTTCTCAATGCTTTACCAGGCTCAATTCTTGTTCCTCCTTATAATCCCAACCTACTTCTGCTCACCTCTCCCAATCTGATGTGTGCTTTATCAGCATGGTTTAGTGGGCCTGCACTGAGGTTTTATATAAATGGAATTGTGTATACTTCTTTTGCCCAGCTTCTTTCCAACAGCATAAGTATTTTGAAATCCATCATGCTGTGGCATGTGTTTTATTCAATCATTCCATTGTATTGCTAAGTGGCATTTTCACCCCATGAATGAACCTGTCTGTCCATTCATCTGTTCTTGGATGTCTGCATTGATTTCAACTTAGGCTGTGATACATACAGTTGCTGTGAACATTTGTTATGTGCATGCTTTTCCAGGGGCTTGAGCATCCATGTCCCTAAGTGAATACTTATGAGTAGAATAGCTAGGTGGTATTGGGTATAGAAGGTATAAATTTATTTTTAAAAAGGATTTGTTTTGGTCAGGTGTGGTGGCACATACCCTTAATCTCAGCTCTGAGAAAACAGAGGCAGTCAATCTCTAAGTTTGAGCCCTAGCCTGGTCTTCTGGGCAAGTTCCAGTTCAGCCAGATCTACAGAGATATAAACCCTGTCTCAATATATATATATATATATATATATAGAGGATATCAGAGGAGGGGTTGTTGAATCCCAGGGAGCTGGAATTACAGTGAATAAGAAGCCACTGGACATAGGGCTACAAAATGAACTGTTCTTTGGAATGAGCAGCAAGGACCTGATGGGCACGACAGACCAGTTTCTCTTCCCTCCTTGTACCCTCCAGTGTGGTGCTGGGGATGGACCCCAGGGCCTTGCACATGCTAGGAAATGATCTATCAGTGAACCACACCCACTGCTATCTTCCATTTCCTGCTTCTGACAGAGATGCATGAATGTGCCAATTCATTTGAGTACTCACTGACACTTGAAAGAATAAGTCTTCTTAATTTCAGTCTTGGTGGTATTTCACTATGGCCTTCCTTCCTTCCATCTTGTGTGTGGCATGTGTGCACACATATACAGGTGCCTACAGAGGCCAGAAGAGGGCCTCTGATCCTTTGCAGTTAAAGTTACATATGAGCTGCCTGACATGGACACTGGGATAACATTACAAGCTCTTGGCCACAGCATGGAGTCATCTTTCCCTCCAACCCACTCTCTCACTGTGGTTTTTAAATAGCAGCCTCCTGACCACTAATGTTATGGACCTGGAAAACACAAAATGGGAATAGAGAAATAGCAGTATCCTCAGAAGCAGTCAGAGGGTCCCTGGAAATGGTCTGTGAATGTAGGCATAGCTAAGCTGGGCAACAGGAATCAGAGGGCTGCAGTTATGTGGCAACCAAAGGGATTGCAGAGGCTGTGGGGTCAACTTGCTGCTTCTGATGGCCTTTGCATGTACAGAGAAAAAAAAGAAGCTAAAGATAGCTATGGCCCAGTGTAGAACATGAGGGCAAAAACAGAAACCCCTGCTAGTCCCCCATTCTAAGCCTGATTACACAAAGAGCTGCAAAGAATTCTTGACTCTTGGTCTCAGCAGTCTACCACCACTTCCATGGGCACTCGTTGGTGCATGCACCAGGAGCAATATCCCTCACCTGGTGAGGTTCACACTCAGGCCTCAATCCACAGCTCATCATGGGATTTCCCAACATTCTTTGGAGAAGTATAGGACTGCTCTGAGTAGCCATAGCTATTCGCTGAGTGTGGGGCAAGACCCTATCTATATGCACAGGCAAGCAGTGGGCATGATGAGTGGAATCGCTAAGGCTGTCAAGGGAATGAGGAATGAATAGGCTTATGGAAATAGAGTTCAGATTCACAGTTTGGGGGGAGGGCCCAGGAGTGATAATCCCATCTGCTGGGTTAGCCTACTTAAGTCTGTACTTAAGGAGCTGGCCCACAGATCCATGACTGAGAGCAATCAAACTTGGAGCAGCCAAGCTTCATAGACCCTTGGAGATAAAAGCTCATTTTAATAACAGTGGCTTATGATTCAGGGAATGCTAATGGGCACACCTTCTGAATCAGGCTTCACTGGTGAGCTCCTTGCCTTTGTACTTTATTCCACGCCCTCTGTTCCAGGGTCTTCAGGATGCTGTGACGATGCCAAGGTGGGTATGAAATGACCTTTGAAGTTTGAATCACATATTTCAAAATAAGGAGGATTGTATCCACATCTGCAGAAAGTAGTTTTGGTCTCAGGGTGGTAAAAAAAAGGCAGTAAATGGCTAGTGAGTTTCCCAAGTACCAAAAAGGCCCATTTTCACAGTACCATTTGTGCCCCAAGAAGGATGCAGATATTGAGCAATAAGCATGTCTACAACTGCTCAACACCAGAGTCTTCTCTTCATCTGGGAATGTTGTGATCCCTCCAAATTACTAGTTATTTTTTATACTTCCGTGTATGTGTTGGTGACAGGGGAAAGCACACATGTTGAGGTCAGAGTGCAACTTGTAAGAATCAGAATGTGTGCATACAAAAAAGAAAAAGGAAGAAGGAAAACAGATAATGTCCAGAGAGTAAGCTTTGGACACCCCAGTGGTTAGAAGTCAGCAGGAGAATGGTGGACTGTGGTGACAGTACCCTAGCAACTGCCTTTCTGCAGGAGGGTAAGGCAGAACACACAGCCTGGGTTTCAAACAGGGTTTTTTTTTTTTTTTTTTTTTTTTTTTTTTTTTTTTTTTTTCTCTCTTTTTTTTTTTCTTTCTGGTTTTCTGATAGAGTGAAGCTCTGGACCGCTCTGTAGACCAGGCTGGCCTCAAACTCAAAAGCTTTCTTGGAATTTGCACTGTATGGGCTGGAGAGATGACTCAGATGTTAAGAGCACTGGCTGCTCTTCCAGAAGTCCTGAGTTCAATTCCCAGCAACCACATGATGGCTCACAACAATCCGTAACGAGATCTGGTGCCCTCTTCTGGCCTGCAGGGAATTTGCGCTGTAGACCAGGCAGGTCTCAAAACTCAGAGATCTGCCTCCCTCTGCCTCCTGAGTGAAGTTGTTGTTGTTTTTCCTTACTCTTTGGGTGCCTACCACCCAGCTTCCAAATAAATACAGAGAAACTTATTATTTCTTAGGAAAGCCAGTCTTAGCTTGGCTTGTTTCAAGACAGTTTTTCTTAAATTATCTCATTTACCTTCTGCCTCTGGACTTTTATCTTTCTCTGTTCTATATACCCTTCTTTACATCTTTCTCTGTAGCTGGCCATGTGGCTGGGTAGCTGACCCTGACGCCCTCCTCTCTCCTTTTCTTGCTCCTCCATCTCTCTTCCCAGATTTCTCATATTTATTCTCTCCGCCTGACTGCCCCACCCATTTCTCTCTCCTACCTCCCTATTGGCCATTCAGTTTCTTTGTATACCAATCAGGTGTTTTGGGTAGGCATAGTAACATAGCATCACAGAGTTAAACACATGCAAAATAAAAGAATGCTACACAAGCCGTGGTAGCACACGCCCTTAGTCCCAGTACTTGGGAGGCAGAGGCAGACAGATCTCTGGGAGTTCAAGGCCAGCTTGGTCTACTGAGCTAACTCTAAGACAGCCTCCAAAGCTACAGAGAAACACCGTCTTAGAGAAAAAAAATGCATCACAAAACAAATATTCTACAGCATAAACAAATGTAACAAACACATCTTCAACTAATATTTCACAACACCTAAGTACTGGGATTAAAGGTGTGTATCACTACCACCCAGCTTCAAAGAGGTTTTATGACTGGCTCAGTCCATTCTTCCACTCGAGGCGTGGGTTTTGACCTTTATACTCCTGCCCTCAATTCCTTCTTTCTAAAGCAGGCAGGTCTTGAGTGATGCCACGATACCCATCTGGGTGCTTACTGCCCTCAATTTGTCACACATAATTTCCACAGAGTAGTTGTTTCTTTAGCTGAATTAAGCTACCCACACCTTGATTAGCTCAGGTTTTGGGTGACAGGAACCCAAGGATGAAACAGACTACACTGATTAGCACTGAGCAAATTATTTAACTCCTCTAAGCTTCAGTTCCTAGAAATCAAACTACATGCTTCACAGGCACAGTATTAACCAGGTCTGCAGATACCACATGGTAAATGCTTTTCCAAACTATTACACTAAAACTCATTATTTATATACCAGTAACACTCAGGAGGCAGAGGCTGGCAGATCTCTGAGTTCAAGGTCAGCTTGGTCTACAAAGTGAGCCACAGAACAGCCAAGTCTACGTATGAAGAACCTGTCTTAAAACAAAACAAACAAAACAAAAACAAACAAAAAAATCAAACTGTGACACACACATACATAACCAGCAGTCTTGCAGAAAATCCCCAGCAGGTCCTCTCAAGGACAAATGAGCCATATGCATAAAGGAAGTCTTGGCAGCTCAAGAAAGGCTTTGTTGTTAGGTTTGAGATAGGGTTTTGCTACCTAAGCCAGTCTGGCAACCCTCTGGTGTCTGAAATATTTACAGGCAAGTACCACCATGTCTATCTGTTTTCCTTTTAGCAGTTTATTACAGTGTACTTGGGTTTCCTTAGGCAGTCTCACTATATAGCTTTGATGAGCCTGGCCTCAAATTTGCAGTTATCCTCAGGCTCCAGTGTGGTGATATAGGCACATACCACCATAGCACGCTGTGCTATTTCTTTATCCTACTAATGTAGCAACTAAACCCCAAGGAGTCCGTCTTAAAGTCACTGAGACTATCTGTTACTGCCATGGCTACAGCTGTAGCCATGAAAAAAAAATCAGTAAAATAATTGGAAACTGAATGACAAAAAGCTGTTTAATGCCTGATAGACAAAGTCAAGCTCACAAAGAAATTTCCTTGAGTTTAATAAAGATGCTAAAAATGTTACTTTTCAAGTATTTTTTCCTTTTTTTACAAAGTTCTGTACATAAAAATAAATATACAGAAGCAAACCCCATCAACTGTTTACATCAGTAATCCTCACTGGTGGGCTCACCATTTATAAGGAAGACATCATTCAACGCATCCTGTCACAGAGACTGTCCTATCAGCAAGGACTTCTACCCCAAAAGATCATCACTAGGCCTCCTTTAGAAAGTCTGCTGAACAGCAAGAGGCCTTCACCTACCAACTAGCAAGAAGCCATGAAATTAATGGCTGTTTCATCTCTAAATAGAGTGTGGACCTAATGGCAATGTCTATATCTCATACTAACCAAAGCCCTTAAAATACAGATAGTTAAGAATGTAAATAAGCCCACCTCTCCCTTGGCTAGTCACTGTGAAAGTGTGCGTAAGGCAATTGAGTTGAGGGTTAAGGGTTCATCTTGCTAATGTCAAGTGACACTAACAAGAGTCTTAGCTTCATCCACCAGATGATGGGCCCCTGCGTCCAGGTCTCCAGGAGCAGGTTCCACCCCCTTCACCAGTCAGAGGGTTATAACCTGGAATTGAAAAGGAAACAAAACCATTTTGATGGCTGGAGATAAGGAAACATTTTATATTAAAACTATAGCTACAAATCTAGCATGTAAATCCCTGCAAAGATATAGATTCCATCTTCATGGCCATTTCCAAGGGACTTTAGCCATTATATAAAAAAAGTAAGGTGGAGATAGCTATGGTGCAGCCTTTAATCCCCGTACTTGAGAGGCATGCAAAACAGTCAGAAATTACCCAAGATAGCCTGATCTAATTATACGAAGCCTTCAATTCTAAGTGGAACAGCTCTGAGGGGAAAGGCTTCCCCAGTGGAAGTGTTTCAGCTCTGAGATGAAAGGTTTCCTGTGTAGAAATGCTGTGTCTCTAAGGGGAAAGGCATCTTTGGCAGTCGGAAGCCAAGGAACAGTACAAAGTCACACCACACAACAAACCTCACACAAGAGATTTATTGGGAGAGACACAGAATGTGGCTGCCTCTGCTCAGATAAAAAAAAGCAGTACAGAACTGAGCATGAGGCAAGTTTATACAGGATTTCTTGGGGAGGAGTTTTTCAGGGTAGGGACTGGTGAGATTTCAAGCCCTGAGCTTGGCTTGAGCCCAGGGATTGGTGGATTTCATGCTCAGGGACTGGAGGGTTTGGGTAGGTTTTCAAACATGTAAATGGGTTTGAACCTTTTACCCTATACTAATCATAGTGCTTAAAAGAAAGCACACATTTAAATACAGGCTTTTGAAGCTGCAGAAAATGGACTTTTAAAAACAATTAAATGGCCAGATGTGGGGGTTTACACTTTTAGTTCAACTCAGGAGGTTGAAGACCTTGCATAAGGCCAGCTTTGGCTACACTGTGGTTTCTAAAACAGCCTAGGCTAGAATTTGAGACCTTGTCTCAAAAACAAAACAAAAGCAAAGCAGAACATTTTAAAAGGGTGTGATGGTCTAGTCCTGTGATCTCAGTCCTTGGGAAGAGGCAGCAAGAGTATCAAGGGGTCAAGGTCACCCTTGGCAACATACTCAGATGGAGGCCAGCCGCCTAGGCCTTAAGACTTTGTCTCAAAAATGAACAAAAACCAAACCAAACAACTAGAATGGAAATTTCCACTTCTAGTAGTCAGAACTGGGTCACCTACATCCTTTTTCCATGTCTCCCTCCCACACCAGATCCTCACAGCCAATATGGATAACTGGGTCTTTGCCGAATGCTCCAGGCTCGAGTCAGCCTTATATGGGTCGGTTCTGCTCTTTGCTCACCATGAAATCTCACCCTGAGTCAGTTTCCTCATTTGCAAAGCCAGGCTGTTTAGGCTGGCTCTAGCTCAGGACTACTGGACAGCACAACAAACCATGTACAAACTGAAGTGTGCCAGGTGAGCCCTGATGAGAGTAATTAGCTCTGGAGGGGAACAGATGAAATACATAACACTAATGTTCCATTGCCTCAGACTCAGCCTGAATCACAAAAGATTGCGAACTTCACTGTTCATGCGTCCCATCTTCTCAAGATATGTGAAATCCCTCAGGGACAAAATGACGACATGCTGCTATGGTGTCACCCAGAGTGTCTAGTCATGTTAACACAGAAAAAGGCTGAGTGAACATCTGTCTATATCTTGAGGAAGTTAATCATAGGAAATAGGGCAGCACTGTTAACCAGACAGACACAGAATGTCTCTAGACACTGCTCTGTCAGACAGACTGCTCTCATCCTGGTTCTCCTTTCCTGTCACAGTGCTATCTCAGGAACAGGAAAGAACACCGCATCCAAGCACAATCATCCTAATTGCTCAGTGAACAGCCACAGAGAACTCTCAATCTGCCTGCCTTATCTCTACAGTCCTCAACTTGGGGACATAGAAACAGAGAGACTTTTTTTTCACTATGCAGACTAGGCTGGTCTCCTCCTGGACAATCTTGCTTCAGCTGCCCAAGTACGAGGATTACAAGTATACGTTCCATGCTCAGTGGGGAAAAAGGACCTGAGCAAGAACAAGGACAAGAGCGCAAACCTCCGTGCATAAAGCCAGGCATAGTGACACTCACACTTGTAAGCTCAGTGTTTGTTTGTTTGTTTGTTTAGGTTAGAGATAGGACTGCTGAGGCTTCCCAGCTGCCAAAATAGCTCCAGGACAAGGGAGAGACCTTGTCTCAGGGAATAAGGTGGAAATTATAGAACAAGACACCTAACACCCTCTGGCCTCTATGTACGAGCATGGACGCATGCACTGGCATAGTGAAGCTCGCACACACCACATATACACACAAAGTACAGATAAAAAGACAATAGATCTTGTAAGTGTTAACATTTCTAAATGTTTCACATTGCCAGGTTCTTACCACCTCCCCGCAAAGGCTTTTTATCAGATTTTCTTTTGGGGGTGACAGATGAAGTAGAAGGCCCGGGACCATCTTCTTCCTGTTTGAACATACACAAGTTTAAGAAATCAATATATTCTACTCAGGGCTAGGGATATAGCTCAATATGCCATGCTTGGGTTCAATTTACAAAACCACAAAACCAGTCCAAGCCCCATCATTCTACACTGCTAATTGCCATCAATTCCAGTTACCTGTGGCCTTCCTGTGTTTCTTCTGTAACTTCTGCCTTCCTGCATGCTGTCCCACATCTCAATCTTCTGCCTCCTTTTCTCTTCTTCAAGCTAAGAAAGAATCACACACACAAGGAAACACAGATAGGAAACACTCATAAGCTCCTACTGTTCTCAAAGAAAATGCTCATTGAGAATTTTTAATTCAAACATCTTTAAAAACACTTCTTCACTTTTATTTATTCCTTGAATAATAATAATAATAATAATAATAATAATAATAATAATAATAATAATAATAATAATAATAATAAAGTGGCTGTGTAAGGCTGGGCATTATGGTACACACCTGTAACCCTGGCACTCAGGAAGATGAGAGAAGACTAAATTTGAAGCCAGCCCGGCCTACACAGTGAGACCCTATCTCATAAAACCTTTATTAAAAAGTATGGAAGGGGCTGGAGAGATGACTCAGCAGTTAAGAGCACTGACTTCTCGTCCAGAGGACCTGATTTCAATCCCCAGTACCCACATGACAACCCATAACTGCAACTCCAGTTCCAGGGGATCTGGCATCCCCACCCATACCTGCAGCAAAACACCAATGCATATAAAATAAAAACAAAGTTTTAAAAAAGTATGAAAAAAGAAACAATGGTTCCATTATTTCAACCCACCCTTATCAGTCCATTCTGGCAATGCAGAAGAAATGACCTGGAATGGGTGTGTGTGGCTGGCAGCCCTGTTTTATCACCTGACTGTGCCACTTAGTCCTTCTGCCTCGGGCACTGGATCATAGGACAACAGGCTGCCAAGTGCATTAGAAAGTTAAGCACTATGGGAACATAAGGGAAATGAATCACCTCAGAAAAAAATCACACTTAGCAATGAGTGCCTGAGAAACCTGTGGTAGGTGTGGACCCAACACATGTGGTAGGTATGGACCCAACACATGTGGACCTAACACAAGCAGAAGGTATTTGCTTCTGCTTCCTATTCCATCAACAGTAGCCTTTTTTTTTTTTTTTTTTTTTTTTTTCAAGCAGCCAAGCATTGTAGTGAGCATGCATATTAGGAGCATGCAATCTCTCTATTTCCAAAGGAATTCAAACCCAATGCAGTCCATTCTGATCCTACTAAATAGTGATATCATAGGGACGTGTGATGAGATGCATTAAAAGCACATATTCTGCAAATTTCTCCATGGTATGCACATCTCTTGTCAAACCTGTCCCTTCAAGCTTCCAGCGCTTGTAAGTACAGGAAATTCAGAAAGAACCACTTAACATAAAGGTTGCTTTATACTTTTAGTTACATCAAGAACATCTAACTGAGCTGGGCATGGTGGTGCATACCTGTAATCCCACAATCCCCAGCTTTAGGGAGGCAGAGGTAGACTACTAGGCTAGCCAGGGCTTCATGAGAACCTATGCCTCAAAAAAACCAACAAAAGAATGTCTGATCCATCATAGCAAAATCAAAAACAAAGTGGGGTGGAGAGTGGGGTTTAGTGAGATGGCTCAGCAGGCAAAATGCTTGCTGAACAAGCAAACAAGCTTAATGACCTATTTGAGCCCCAGAACTCGGAGTGGAAGAAGAGAGTGACTACTATATGTTGTCCTCTAATATCCAACTGCACACCATGGCATGGACATGCCTGCACTCACACACAAATAATAATTTAAAAAATCCAAAATGAATATATATATAGCAGATATATTCAAGCATTACCTTTAAGAGATCTAAGCTAACCATAAGCCAGAAAGATATGAGGGGCATTTGAAAAAACATGCACATACTAATGCCATTTCTATTCAAAGAGAACCATTCAATATGCTCATAAAATATTGGATAAAATCTATCTGCAAAAATACCTAAAAAAAAATTTAACATTACATGGGATATTTAGGCAGTAGGTAAGGAGTAGGGACAGTGGAGACTTAATTTCCATAGAACAAACTTCTATACCACAGGTTTTTAATTATTAACTTTAAAATCAGGCTGGTGAAGATGGGCAACTAACTTACATAAATATTGAAGGCTGCTATTGGAACAAGTGCCTTAGGAGGCAGGATGTATGTTTATGTCTTATTATGTCCTTTCCTTCTGGGTCCCAGCCAAGCTGGGATGACCAGACCCAAAGGGATGGCCAGGCAAAAATATGAGAAGCTGCCAACTGTGGCAGAAAGGCATGTGCCTCAGTGGCACAACGGAGACTAAAAACTCTTTGAGACCAAATTCTCTGGTGCCTCAAAGCTGGTAGAGGGTTCTTTTTGTGGAGATGAGACAGGCTCTGAAAACTTCTGGACTGAAACTGGAAAGCAGTTGTTTCGATGACAGATCAGCTGAATGCTGGTGTGCAAATACGATCTGAATGAACTTGGTCTCCAGCTGATGGCAATGTTTGCGAATGCAGTGGAATCTTTAGGAGGGGCAGCCTTGCTGGAGGAAGTATGCTCTTGGAGGTGGATTCTGAGGTTTTATAGCCTGGCTCCGTTTCCTGTCCTCTCTGCTTATGTGAGGATGAAATGTCATCAGTCTGCTTTCTGACTGCCAGGCTGGCCTCATGCTCCTGCTGTCATGACAGACTGTATCCTCCCCCAGGGACTGTACACCAAAATAAACCCTTTCTCCCCAGTTGCTTTTGTCATTCCATCATAGCAACAGAAGTAACTAATACAGCAGTCTTACTCCCACTAGGACCAGTCCAACCCACCTGACTGCTCAAAGAAATCCTTGGTTCTTCCTTCACCTTCCTTCCTACCTTCCCTCCCATGAAAACCCATGACTTAAAAAAATAAAAAAATAAATAAAAAATTCCCATCTTCTAGTTCACACCTCCAATACAATCATCGTCTAAGCCTTATGCTGTGTTTTCTTGCTTTCCTGAAACCCACTGCAGTGTGCTTCATCATCCCTAAACCAGGTCACATGCAATACACAGCTTCAAACAAAGCTAAATGTGGAACTTGTGATCCCAGCACTTGGGAGGTAGGCAGGCTGGTATCTATGCTGGCTCCAATGGCATGTGACCCGGGCACACAATTTTGGTGAGTAATACTGTTATAAGGAAACACTTGCAGGCAAGACAGAAAGAAAAGATATTTCTTTCTTCAAGAGTATTTATCCCTTGACAGTTCAAAACCGTGCAAATACTGACCTACAGTAAACTAAAGGAAATTAATTCTTGATATCCACCCAAAGACATGCATTCACTCACCCACAAACACCATCCTCATGTTCTGTCTTTCACTGTAGCGATGTATTCACACATCTGTTCCTAACTAGCATATTTTGTTCTATACCACCAATGTTGACATGGTAGACTCCAAAATGCATTTTGAATTGAATGAGACACAACCCTGCTCTATATAAGCTTGCAAATAACAGTAAATATATTTTATGGACTGTTATCACTAAGCCTTGAACAATTTAAAATGAACTTCTTCTAGGTAAAAGCAGTACCTAGAGAAAATCAGGGGTAGAGGTGTAGATTGGTGACAGAGACCTTGCCTAGCATGCTCAAGGCCCTGAAAAAACAGAAAAGAAAAAACCCAACCCACATTTATTAAGTCAACCCACTTCATACCTGTCTTAGCTTTTCCTTATGTTTTTCAACTTGGGCATTTAGATCTTCCTGCATTCTCAAACGAGCAGCTGCTAGAGCCTCTTGTCGCTTAACAACAACATCAGGTTCTAAAACAGCAGGGAAAAAATTAGGTATGGCTCCATATGAACTAGCCTATAAATATAGAGGTTCAAAGGTCAGAAAATCACCACAAAATATATCCTTGCATACTCATAGTAGAGCAATAAGTGCTCCGAAGACCACCAGAACAAGATTCTACTATGCAATGTGGCCATCTCTTTTGCACCTGATCTCTAGGTTGACCAGCAGTCCACAAAGCAAAGCTGAAGGCTTTTGCATCTTATCTATCACTTGATTAGCCCAGGTCTACAAAAAGAGGTGTAAGATCCTGTTCCAACAAAGAAAAGTCCTTCACTAGCATTATGAACATGAATGCCCCAGTTTAACTTACTTTTGGTTGAGATGGGGGTCTCATGTGACCTCAATTAGCCTCAAACTCACTATGTAGCACAAAATGACTTAAAACTCCCGATCCTCCTGCCTCTACCACCCAGTGTGGGAGAACAAAAGTTTGCCACTATACCTACTTTTATTTGGTACTGGAGACTAAACCCCAGGCCTTGTGTATACTAGTCAAGCACTCTACCAACTGGAGTCACAGCTCCAGCCCCAGCTTACTTTAAAAAGAAAACAAGATTTTTTTTTTTTTTTTTTTTTTTTTTGAGATAGGGTCTCACTATGCAGCCCTGGCTGGTCTAGAACTCTCTTTGTAGACTGGGCTCAAATTCATACAGACCAGCCTACCTCTGCCTCTTGAGTGCTGGGACTAACAGTGTGTGCCCCATAACTGTTATTCAACATTGGCGCCTAGGACATGGAAAGGCTCTCTCCCTGTCCTTTTTCCCCTCCGAGGCCCTCTGGCGGGCTCGTGGCAAGACAAGGGGACCCTGACATGCTGGTCAACAACCCACACTCCAGCTCACCGGTTTGCTGGGACTCTACATCCAACACCGGACCCTATTCGGTAAGGCTACACCCTTCCAGTAGGCGTAACCATGTCTCCCTGAACCCGGAAGATGTTCTTCTGGTGTTCTTGGAGGTGGGGGAGCACCTAGCCATGATCTTCACAGTCACACTGACCCCCTTTGCTGACAATTGCTCCTGGCTTATTTCTCATGGGTGGCCCCATCAGCAGCTCTTTGCTCCCTTGGTGGCTAGCCACTGTGGGACTGTTGGGTTCTTCTGTTTTCTTTTCGTTCTTCGGGATAGCTGAATCCCTATTCAAACCCAGGGTCTATCGGGCTGAGAGCCCCCTCAGCACCCCCACGAGCTGATGAGCATTCGGGAGAGGGGCTTTTGCCAGTTTTTGACTTTTTCACCCATGGGAAATAAACCAATGAAGGAGATAAACCCATCCACTCCACTGGGATGTCTTCTAGAAAACTTAAAACCCTTACACCTCATGCCATTTGTTAAGGCATCCAGACTCACTTATCTCAGTATCAAAAAATGGCCTAGGTATTCCTTAGAGAACCAGTTTCACTGGCCCTGAAACGGGACTCTAGACCCCGAAGTTTTGCGGGATTTATCTAACTTCTGTCAGCAAACCGGAAGATGGAAGGAGTTACCCTATGTACAGGCCTTTTTCTATCTATCTGCTAAACACTCTCTCTCTCTCTGTCTCCTCTTCGGTTGGCTGACAATCCAACCCCATCATCCCCCCCTCTTCCTGTCAATAAGCTACACATGGGTTGTTCATCCATAGTTTCCTTTCTTTACATCCACAGCTGCAGCGAAAAAGAATAACAATACCTGTAACAGGAAAAATAAAAGGACCCAGAGACTGATATTGGGGTTCAAACTTCAACCTGAAGATCAGAAAAGCAAAGCAGCCAGGCACTAGCTTTTACTATACTGAAAGGTGATCCTGGATCCACCAAATCTCAGATTGTAACCTCTCCTCTCCTCAGTGTGCCTGAAGAATCATGAGACTTCAATGTCTCTCCATCCTCAGTTTGGCTGGAGAACGAATGCCTGATATTGACCCTATTCCTGTCTTATATAACTCCCTAATGCTGGGATCATCTTTGTGTGAGCTGTTTCTCTTTAGGACTGACTGGATCAATCTTGTGTAGATCTGAGTAGCCTTGGACTCACAGAGATCCGTCTACCTCTTAATCCTGAGTCCTGGGATTAAAAGTGTGTACTACCATCTCCTTCTGGCTGCTGGGATTAAAGGTGTGTATCAGCACTGCCTGACCTCTATAGCTTGTAGCTCACTTTGCTTTCTGAATCCTCAGGGAAGCTTTAATAAGTCATAAATAATATATCACCACACATACCCAACCCTAGTTTACATTTGTTTTTGTTTTTCGAGACAGGGTTTCTCTGTGTAGCTTTGGAGCCTATCCTGGCACTCGCTCTGGAGACCAGGCTGGCCTCAAACTCACAGAGATCCGCCTGCCTCTACCTCCCTAGTGCAGGGATTAAAGGCGTATGCCACCAATGCCCGGCCCCTAGCTTATATTTTTATCTAGCTGTAAATCAAGGCTTTCTTCCCTAATCTCAGTACTATAGTAATTCAAGATGAATGGTGATCTGTATTTTAGTTATATTGCAACATAAAATACAACACTTCTTTTGGACACACCCACAGAAGTAGCTTCTAGCTAAATTGGCCGCCCTTTGAGGTTTTTTTGTTTGTTTGTTTGTTTTAAACAACCAAATGAAAGGTTTCAGTGAAAAATCAAAATGAAGTGAATGCAAAATCCTAATGCCGAGTTTCTGGTCACTCACAATAATTCCAGAGGTTCCTTAATGGATGTAGCTAGAGCACAAAGAAACAGTTAGGTTTTCATTTTAATCCTCTCTAAAATTAAGAGTCACTAAACAGGATGTGCACTGAGTGTGCTACACATTACCGGGAAATCTTTATCTCAATAAATCTTTCAAACTCAAAGCCATAAACTGTTGCCACACACATAAGTAAGCTACAGGTGCCTTCATTTCTATCACATGACACTAACCCAGAACAGCCTCAGCTTGGTCCAGCTGCCTCTGCCTCAACGCCCTCAGTCGGACTGCAAGTTTCTGGATGACAATGTAGAGAAAGATGCAGCTGAAGAGGATGTACCAGCCGTAGCTGGCCAGCAGGGAGCCCACTGGGAAAAAAAGAAACAAACCAGTTTCAAAAACGGAAAATGGCATTTTTCAATAATACTCAACAATGATAAATCATAGCTCCTGCCTCCATAACCTGCACAACTAGCTGAGGAAATGGACTCCTAAGTAGTTACTATCTGGGCGAGGAATGGAAAGATTTCGGAATCGCTGGGCACACAAACTTCTCATCCACCAGGGCACTCGGGAGTAGCCTGGAAGGTGCAGGGCAGGGCAGCTGGGTTCGGAAGGACTAGGGGGACAGGTCTATCAGATTCAGGAAATCAAAGACCATCCAGACTCCGGGAGCTACACTCTGTAAAGGAGACAGCAGTGGTTAGGGTTGTGCGGAGCGAAACGCCGGCCGGAGGACTCCAGTCACTGCAAAAGGAAGGTGTTAAAGGCTCTAGCTAACGAAGTCCGCGAGCGCCCGCCCAGCCAGGGCGACTTCGAGGAAGCAGCGCTCCGGCCTAGCCCGCTGTCCCCGCCTGCCCACGGCGATAACGCCAAGCCTCCTGGAGGCCGACCCACCGAGCATGGCGGCTCCCGCCGCACGCCCCGCCGCCCCTCACCTGTGACGTGTAGGAATCTTAGGCCCTCGGTCTCCAGCGCAGGGCGCGCGGACAGAGGTTCCTCGGCGTGCTCCATGGCTGCGGGCTGCCAGCTGCCAACGACTCGCCCGCCGCGCTTCTCAGCTCGCAGCTTCCGGTTCGGCCCTATGTACACGTGGCGCTCACGGCCGCCGCGATCCTGGCCTATCGTGGCTCGACCTGTCTCGACGCTCGACCAATCACTGGGTGGGTGTGACTGGAGGGGCGGGGCTAGAGGACGCCCAGGCGGAAGCACGTCTGACTTTTAGGGGAGGAGCTCCAAACTCAGCTCAGCGCGGATAACCGATCTTGCGCTGATTGCCTACCAACCTTGTGCTTGATGCTGATTGGATACCAAGGACCAAGAGATTTAGAGCCTCTTGGGGATGAGATTTGCATCCCGCCCTTGTCACGGGGCCACTGAGGGTTGCAGCAAAGGTCCCCTCCACAAACTTGAAGAAAGCGACCTTAATACTCCAACTGACCCCAAATTATTTCTGAGGAACCACAATCCCACAAGGGATTAATGTAGTAGTGATTCCAACATGCTTAGACTCTAACTATGTGTCACATTACCAGTTTTTGTAATGCTGCCCAGCAACATATTAGGAAAGCAATAAAGGAGATTGCTAGAAGTTGAAATGGAACTGATGGAATCGAATTTCCAAAGTCTTAGGTTAATAGGATTAATAAGGCAACAACTGACAGGAGGTGGTGGCACATGCCTTTAATCCCAGCACTCAGGAGGCAGAGCAGGCAGATCTCTGTGAGTCAGAGGCGGGCCAGGTCTACAGTGCTAGTTCCAGGACAATCAAAGCTACACAGAGAAACCCTGTCTCAAGAAAGGAAGGAAGGAAGGGAGGGAGGGAGGGAGGAAGGAAGGGAGAGAGTAATAACTTTATCTAAGGTGTTTAAAAGCTGGACCTTTGGGAAATTATATGAGGTCAGTATGGAGTTCTCCAGGAAAAAGGAGACCAGGTTTATATGCACTCTCCTATGACATGACACAGCCAAAGGGCCCTGGCAGAATTTATATCATATTTTGAGGACTTTGAATCTCCAAAATGTCATTGCTTCATAAAATTAATCTGTCAAGTACCTTACTACAGTAATAAACTAATGCAGTGATTCCTATGGAAGGACTAGTGTTCATGGGACAGAGAGAAAAGCCTGAAATTGCTTTGCATTATCAGCCACTTTGAAAATGGACTTTACAAATCAGAAAATTGATGACTGGATATTATCAGTTAAGATATGAAGCTAGTCATCAATTTGTTGAATTAGTTTTATATTCTCAATAGTTTCCTCTTAGTGGTAAAAAAAATGACCACTGTGTGTAAAAATTTGGGGTGTTGATCATTGAGCCCCCTATGATCTACTTCTGAGCTAAACCCCAGTTTGAACCATCACTCTTTGCTTAAGGTGATTTTTCACTTGCTTAGGCTTTGTCATACAAATGCAAGGGAAACATCTGGTTAAGAGTGAGGAGGTTGCTTAATTTGCCTGTTTACCCAGTCCATTAATATCTGTAGTCATGATGATGAAATAAGTAGTAACATTTAGTTTCATTAGGGGAGGTAGAAAAAAATAAAAAAAAAAAAAAAACCCACCACCAACAAAATGCCAGGCATTGGTGATGCATGCCTTTAATCTCAGCACTCCGGAGGCAGAGGCAGGTGGATCTCTAAGTTCAAAGCCAGCCTGATCTATGGAGTGAGTTCCAGGAGAACCAGGGCAATACGGAGAAACCCTGTCTCAAAAAACAAACAGATGGTGGGGTGGATATGATCAAAGTACATGATACACATATATGAAACTGTCATAGTGAAATCTTTTCCACTTGGGATTTTGTAATATAAAATAGAAACTAGCAACAATTCATAAAGATAATGAATTAAAAATATACAAATTAGGAATGTATCTCAGTTTGGTTAAGTGCTTCCTTGCCTAGCATGTACAAAGTCTTGGGTTTAAAGCCCTGAACTGCACAAACTGAGTATAGTGGCAAATGCTTCTAATCCCAGCATTTGTGAGGCAGAGGTAAAAGAATCAGGAGTAAGGTCATCTTTGGTGTCATAGGAAGCCCACACTGGGCAATGTAAGACTGCTTCAAAAATCAAAACCATGGGAAATAGAGGCAGGTGGATCTCCATGAGTTCCAGTCAAGCCAGGGCTATATAGTTAGCCCTTCTCAAAAACCACAAAGCCAAATAAACAAACAACCCCCCCCCCCAATATAGCTTTGTTACTCTTGGGAACCACAGTGTGCATTTTGAATTGAGTGCATTGATTCTAAGCTTTTATTCCAGTTCCCTTACATCTCAGGTGTGTTGCTTTTGTCCCTTTCATCAAATGGTAGCTGTCTAGAACCCCACTTAATCCAGCACTTATATAGCTCAGGTGTTACTCGAAAAAATAGCACAACGGTGGATAGTAACAACTCCCACTACTGGTTATGTAGACTAAATACCTAGCTTTTTAACTTCTCAGTCCTGGTACTTCTTATAGTCAATTCCTTTAGGGTTAGGTAAATTTCCCCATCCACTGCATTTAGCCAGGTAGATTGCTTTGGTTAATGGCAACTAAGCAGAAGTGTTATCAGTTCTGAGTAGTTTAGCTAGTTGTCCAAGGAGAATTAGGCATAGAAAGCTAGCTACTCTAGTTGATCACAATGTCGCAAGATCTGCACAAGACTGGGCTCCTCAACATCCTACCACTGAGAGGGAGAGATGCTAATAGGGGCCTACCTGACCCCCTAGGGCTTCACTAATTAATGGCGGAGTAAGAAACATTTTCTTCAGTGGTGTAGCTATTGGTTAGGTGCCTATGTTCCCATAACCAACTCTAACTCACTAAGTCCAACACACAAAAAAGAAGTGGCTAACTTGGAAGAGGGAAATAATCCTAAGGACAAAGGAAGGTAACAGGTGTGTGTGTGTGTATGATTAAAATACATTATATACATGTATCGAAACCCATTGTTATATACAATTAATATAAGGCAATAAAAAACATTAAAAATAAAGAGCAGAGTCAAATATGCAAACCTGTAGATCATGTGGCAGTAGTGCTGGCATACTGCCAAAACTTGCTATTTTACAAGATAAGAAGCAACTACATAGGACTAAGGGTATGAGAAGCTTAAGAGCTCAGAGAAGGCAATAAAATGGCAGTTCTGTTCAAACATAAATCAGGCTCAGCCTCTTTCTGTGGACACTCTTTAAAAGAAGTGTCTTGCCTGCATATGCCTATACCATACACCTGCAGTGCTCATGGAGGCCAGAAGAGGGTGTTGGATCCCTGGAATTGTTCCAGAAGATTGTGAACTGCAGTGCTGGTGCTGAGAATCAAACCCAAGTCATTTTGAGAGCATCAAGTCTTCTAAAACACCACACACACACACACACACACACACACACACACACACACACACACACACAATGGAGATCAGTTCTATCATGTGGATCCAGTGATCAAGCTTCAGGTTAATCATTAATCAAGACTTATAATCATATCCATTAATTCAATTAGGTCAAGCCTCAAGACCAGGTCATTTACCAATTATATAGAAATGCTAGAGGAATAAATAATATTCAAGATCAGGTGTGGTGACACACCTGTAGTCTTAGCTGCTGGGAGGTGGTGGTGGTAGGATTAGGAGTTCCAGGCCAGTTTCAGCTCTGTGGCTAGTTGAAAGCCAGCCTGGGCTACGTGAGACATCATCTCAAATCAGTATCTTAACATAGTTCCACAGACCCATTCTTGCAGGTGTGGCATGACTATCAGTTGCTATACATTTCTGCTGTAACATGGACACTAGTAGCCTGAATGAAACTCATGGTCTATGAAACTATTCACTGAAAACCGTTAGGTTCTAGGGAAAATAGCATGTATTGAGGTGAACCTCATCAATGATTTGGGTCTTGAGACACACATATGGAAGAGGAAGCCTCACTTGCCTCTAGCCAGCTTAGTCCTTGATCAGGACAACGGCACATGATGCAATGGTGTGCTGGTTTTGCTTGTTTTCTTCCCACAACCTCAAATACTAAACACAGTTCTGTTCAGTCCAGATACACAGCAGCCTCCATCATTTTCAAATGCTGAAGTGCTGCCCAGGCCTGGGTTCCAAACTTAAGCTACATTTAATTAAAAAATTTGCAATTACAAGTTACCCCAGGCTGCTGGTGGTGCATGCCTTTATTCCCAGCGCTCAGAGGCAGAGATAGGCAGATCTCTATGAGTTCGAGGTCAGCCTAGTCTGTTTTACAGGACAGGCTCCAAAGCTATAGGGAAACCATGCCTTAAAAAACCGGAGGGGGAAAAAAAAAGAAAGAAAAAGAAAAAGGTACCCCAGGACACCAGCTTGTCATCACTGGGACTGTTGACCAAGTCTCATCCATAAAAAGGACTCAATGAAGCTATGGAAAATAGGAATTTGGCTTTTTATTTGGTGCTAGGGGTCTTGCAGTCTTAGCACGACTGCCATCAAGCCACAGACCCAGCCAAAAGAGGGAAGCACCTGTCTTAGCAGCAACAGGAGCTGGTACATGAACAGAAGGACTATGGGAGCAGTACAGCCAGCCTCACTGAGGATACTGCAAACCAGACTCCAATCCAACATGGGAGGAAACTAAATTTAAGTCTGGGGCTCAGCAGAAGCCACTGTTTGGCCAGTCACCCCAGCAAGACCATTGGGAGCAGTTCCACTGTATCTCAGGTATCTGGTATATGCCTCACAAGATCAGTTATCAGTCATCAATGAAAAGCATCTAGAGACTATTTAATATGCTTGTCATATTCAGAATTACCAAAGGAGCTTGGAAAACTGTAACCAGGGGCTGGGAAGATAGTTCAGTGGGCAAGAATGCTTGCTATGCAAGCTTGAGTACTTGTGTTCAAATCCCCACCACCCAGGTAAAAAGTGGTCTGTCCAAATGCATGCCCACAAGCCTTGTTGGGTGGAGACAAGGACTGTTGGAACTGGCTGGCAGACAGCCTCGTTCCAGGCTCAGAGAGAGACATTGCTCTCAAGGGAACAAGGCAGAATAGGAAATCAAGGCACTAATATTTAACCATAAAAGAAAACTCTTTCCTAGATGAGGAATATAATTAAGATAGC